TACTTGCAAATTGGGACATTTTTAAATCCTCTTTTGCTTTATTATACCGTGGTTTCTTTGATATTCCTAAAAAATATGCGGTAGTTAGTAAATCGCCTATATTCACTTACCTGAGGTACAACTTACCGCGCATATTTAAGCTTTACGTTAGTCTATTTTATATGATTTGTTCAACTTATTTATTATCAAATTCACTGTTTAGTTTACTTTCAATTCATCATCGTGCTTAGAATTTATGTTTCAGTATTACATTTTTTATTTATGAAGTGCGTTTATTTTGCTACAGTTTACGTTTTTTAGCTAATTCTTTAATTGTCGTTGAGAAACATTCCATCACTAAATAATTATTCCTGTTTTTCTGGTTTTAAAAAAATTATTTTTATCTCTATTTCCTTCTTTTTTTACTGCGCAAACTGTGTTATCTTTATTTAAACCCGTTCCTGTGTTACATGGGTTTTGTTGTCTGCTTAGAAGTAAGTTCAACTAAGCGGTAAATCAACTGTCAAGATATCTGGGTTTTAGGTGCGATTGAAGATTCAATTTCACTTAAGGGTTGGGATTTGCTTAAACGTTAGCTTTTGGTTTAAGTTAACGTTATGGTTCGTTTAAGGGTTAGGAGTAGAGGTGGTCGCTCACCACTCGCTAGTGACTGTCTAGGTTCTTTCAGTTTATAGTGAGTTAACTATTTCTAGTAACAACGATTGGCAAATTGTGCGCTATTCCATAACTTGAGTTGGCGTATTTAAGCAAGTTTCTTATTAATCCATGTGTCCACATAATTTGCACGCTAAATTTACCTTCATGTTGCCCTTTTGTCTTTATAACATTTTCTAGCATTAACACCGTTAAAAGAAACCTTTTCTGTTGATTAGAAAGTTGAAAATACAGATAACAACCCAGCAGGGAACAAAATACTTCATTCGGATTTAGAAACCACGGAGGCTTAATTGTGAAAACGTCCCAAAAACTTACAAAACTTGCATAAATAATGGCTCAAACTTACAGATGTAAACACGAGTTAATGTAGCTTGTTGAGCCTGAACCCATACTGACGGTGGGACGTACCTCTGCACAAAAGATTAAAGACAGTGGCAAACACGTGTAATGAAGAGGACTAACATTGAAGGCCGAAATGATGTTTTTGGGAAAAGGGCTTATTCCTGACAATATCCTTTTGACAGTTTTACGCAGCAGGGATTCCTATAACAAGGCGGATGCAGATCCTTAAAGACAAACAAAGAAGGTTGTTCCACGTTTCATCGTCCACTGCCATGAGGAAACGTCGTCACTCGCCTCCAATTCCATGATAGAATCCCAAGCTTTATTAACGGCAAATTTGAATTCAATAAATAGTATGCATTTAGTATATCTGCATGCAGTGCTAGTAAAGAAGGTTAATGAAAGACGAGTTACAGGTCTTAGGTAGCGATGGTTATTTTTGGTGTTTATTTGCAGTGGCCTGATATTTACGTATACCTTGTTTGCAAGTTAGTCTAACTGAATAACTGCATCTATGTTTTGTTTAAGATGGTAGTAATTGAAGCAACACTTTTATTGTAGCCGTCAGTGAAAAACTTGTGCTAAGCCACT